TAATGGATAATTTTGCTGGATACAGGATTCTTGGTTGGCAATTATTTTCTTTCAAATATGTTGTTCCATTGTATTCTTTCCTGCATAGTTTCTTCCTTTGTAAGTGACTTCTTTTTCCTCTAGCTCCTCTCAAGATTTTCTCCTTTCTCTTGACACTGGATAATTTGATTACTATATGTTTTGATGTTTTCTTTCTGGAGTTTATCCTGTTTGGTGTTATCTCTGCTTCCTGGATAGTTATTGTCTCCATTTTGTGGGATTTTCTTCATAGATTATCTGACTATTTTCTCTGTAGATTTGTTTGTTTTCTCCTTTTCTGGGTTCCCAATGAGCATTAGGTTGTTTCTCTTGATGATATCTCAAATCACTCTTAGTCTTTCTTCAAATGCTTTTGCATTTTTCGTTGATTGTTTCTTTCATTGGTTGTAGTCAGTGTGGTTGTGTTCAAGTTCATTGATTCAGTTTTCCTTTGCTCCCATTCTATTCTTCAGTTCTTTTACCGTGCATTTTATTTCTGTTATCTCATTGTGTAGCTCTGGGTTTCTATAGGGTGTGAGGTTTTTAGTATCTTAATTTCTTCCTTTGTTTACAAGAGTGATGCCCAGATCTCTTGTGGGGTCCTAAAATAATTTTTATTTTGTTCTATTTCTGGTATTTCCATGGCTTGTTTTTCATTGGCTTTGGGTAATTTTTAATTGTTAGGGCATTTTTATTGATTTTTCCTTACCACAGTTGGCTGTTGTTTCTATAGCATGGTGGTGCAGCTGTAAGTAGTGTGTGGGTTGTAGGGTTGTGTACAGAAGGTTGGATCTTTGGGTTACAGGAGAAAGTTCTAATAAGAGCTGGATATAGTATTCTGTGGAGAAGAAAAAGAAGTGATAGAGTTGGGTAGGTAATGGCAAATGGAGGTCGGAGCACAACAGTGGGATGTAAATGATAGTAATAATTGGTGGTCTTCTGGGAAAATTCTTTCTCTATATTTTAATATATTGGAAAAAGAGGTTCTGAGAGGTACAGTAGTGCTTGTTCCTTAATCTGGAAGTGCAGGGTCTTGAGACAGTGGTGGGTGGGGTAGGTGGCGAGTGTAAGCTGGTACACAGCTCTGGCTATGGTATAATGAAAGAAGTATGCACAGGCTAAGGTATAGAGGAGTCAAAAACAATTACCTGTTTTGGGTGACTTGTTCTTAGAGCTAAAAATATTTAGCTTCTTTTTCAGGGAACCCTGTCTCAGGTTCCCTCTGAGTTTCCTCACTTAAGAGCAGGGAATGGTGTCCTATTGTGCACCAAGAAAAATAATTGCATTGGGAAGCTCTGTCCTACTTGATCCTGTTTGGGAGAGGGGTTCTGCCACAGGTGTGTGGTGAGAGTCCTGAGGTTCAAAATTGTACACTAATCAGTCTATGATAGAATTCAAGAAGTATGCATAGTATGAGGGGCAAAAACCATGAAAAATGTCTGTCTTTTTTGGGCGGGTAGTTCCAAGAATTGAACATTCTTAGCTCTTTGGCTGAGGGCCGTTCTCTCAGTTTCTCTCTGGATTTCTTCCCTCTTTGCCATATTGTGCTTTTGGAGAAAAGAATGTGATGGAAATGTCGGTCCCACCTGATTCTGTTTGGGAAATAGGAGCAGCTGCAGTTTGTGGTGAAATACCTGAGGTTCACAAATTTACACTCACCAGTGTTATGTGTTGAAAGGGGAGTCATCAGGCTTTTCTGTCTCAGAAAAAAAGCTACAAGTTTCTCCTGAATGTTTTCCACAACAACAGAGGTAGTCACACAAGCAAGACATCAAGATAAGACAGTACTGAAAGAAAGTAAGTAAAGAAAAGATTTAATAAGCAAAGTGCACTTTAATCATGAAGTGAGTCAGCTCATGATTTGAGGAAGATGATGGCATGTAGGGGTGCAACATTGGATTTTATAGGGATTGGGTGGCAGGACTCCATTGGCTCACCTCAATCCCTATCCTGCACATTGTTGGACATGACCAGTGGATTGGATCAGGTGAGGCAGTTTGGGATAAGTCATCCAGACCTCTAACTGACACTGACATTTCCCCTCTAAAGAGAACGGGATTCTGTATTCATTCAGGATATTGGGCATTGACTAATGTGGCTGCATAGGACTGAGATAGTACACGGGACCTATATATTTTTTTCATATTCCCTCTCTTCATTTCTCCTAAAATTGTTAGCAGCATGCTCCACCATCAGGAATTGATTGAGCCTGTCTGTACCAGTTCATCACCATCACTTTTACATGGAATTGCTGAAATCTAGAAGAGAAAAACTTGACCATCAGGTTAAAGATTCATGGGCTGAACAACAGAAGGCAGATAGCTTGTTACTGTCTCCAGGAAGAGAGGCAGCTAATTTCTTTAACAGATATTCTACTAGTAATGGTTCAGGTCCCCAAAATTGAAGAACTCTTACTGCCACCTGGTTCTTTTTCTGACACATATAGGAAAAAGGGGTTTTCTAGGTCAGGAATCCGTATGGACCTTAATTAAAGCTTGTGTGTGTGTCTTAAAAAGCCTTTTATCATGCCTTGCTCCAGTCTATCTCTTCTAATTTTCCCTTTTTTACTAGCCTCATAAAGAGTTTGGGATCCAAATCCTGCAGTAGCCTTCAATTCCCTAGAGCAACCTGGTAGGTTTGGAAATGAGGTTACTTGTGCCAACAGTCTCAATAAAGAAAAAATCTCTCTCCAGTGGGGCATTTAGAGATTCAGGAATAACTAAATAGTTTCAGGAGAATGAAGAACCCTTCCCACATACAAGGCAATAGAGAGGTGAGCAATCTTTTTGGTGGGGATTCGTCAATGCAAACTACTTGAGGAAGGTGGAGGTTAAGTACTAAAGGTTTAGTACTAAAACCTATTTTAGTACTAAAAAGTAGCTTGAATGTCCAGCAGAAAGTGGATGGACTTATTGGCAACATTTACACATTCCCAAGGCTCCTTGAGTTTGATGTCAACAATGTTACCTGAGATATCTTGGGAGCTGAGGCTATGTCACTAGTTCAGCCCATACCATGATTAATTTAGGGCATCTGTGGGCCAGATATCCTGGGGTCCCACCCTGGAAACAGGTAGAAGAAGGCTTCTCTCCCTGTCCCACCTGCCCCCCACCATTTCATGGGGGAACTACTTTGCAACATAGTGACTGAATATGACCTGGTTTCCCATAGCTGTAGCATGTAACTCGGGCCAAGGTTCTATGGACTGCACTGGCTACTCTGGCCTTAGGGTTTGGCCTAAATTGGCCATAATAGCAGCCCCAACAATTTTGGTCTTTTGGTGTTCTCTCTTTTTTCCCTCCAAGTCTCAGTTGTTTTATACAGAGACGGACACCATAAGGACTTCATTAAGGTCATTTTACAGTCCCAAAGCTTTACACTGGAGCTCCGTATGGGTATCAGTGGCTGGTTGGTTAATACAAAAAAAAAGTGTCCAAAACAGTTTTCCTTTTGGTTGATTCTGAAGCTAGCTTAGTAAACTTCTGGAGCACCTATACTAAGCTAACTCTGAATGGAACAGGTCTTTCTCCCTTCCTTCCCCTTCCTCCTCCTCCTTCTTTTTAAAATGATATCTGTCAACTTAGACAAATTCATCTGAATGTCTATCATCTTTTCAGTAAGGTAAGTTTGAATATGATATGCTGTCCCATTTGCCTTGGCTTTCCCTTCTTGGTAGTTCTACTGTGGATCTTGCTCAGGGACTGCAGTAGCCCATACTTTTCCCTACTTGAACTGCTGGCCACCCCTAAATTCACTAAACTTTCTGCAGCTTTCTGGGGATTATAGCTTTTTCCCTAGACTTGAATAGATTAAATTACAGTAAACTCTTTTTAAGTAGTTACTTACATACAGAGGACACTTAAAAAGTACTCACAATAGTCTCACATAAATATGTTAAAGAAATGTATTCACTGTAATCTATTTAGTGGTTCATTTCTATTTGGGATCAGCTGTAATTCAAAAGTCCCATAATCTTTCATAGTTCTAGAAATCTTGAATCTGTTTGATGTGCTCCAAGTTCAGGCTCTTAGTCCTTTTAATAAATTCAGTATGTCTTCGTTTGTAGAAAAAAATTTGGTTAAATGTCTTATATCTTGCACAGCACAAAAGTTTATCTGTAAATTACAAAACTTGATATGGCTATGGTTAAGCAATAGTAATATATATATTTGAAAAACATCAGTGGAAAAATTTACAAACCCATGCAAAACTAAGGCTAACTAAATGTCAGAAGGAATGTTAGACAGTAAGAAAGATCTTAAAATATAATGCTTAAAAGCTTCAGATGTAAAATTGAATTTAAGTTACCAGACCCTTTTTCATTGTTCCTCCATTGTACCACTGAGAAATAATTGGAGTGATCTACTTGAAATCCCTTCTGTACTTTTTTTCTACTGAGTAAATCTAATTAATTGGGTAATTAACATTTACTTGAACTGATCATGCTATAGACTAGTCATGATATAAGGTTTTAGGTTCACCTTACTTAAACTCTTTTAAAAGCTTATGATCTTATTACTATTTAATAGAACATATTATCACTTATGTAACCTTTTGTGATGTTTTCATCTAGTAGCCTAGAATGCACTAAATTCTTTCACATGGATTCAACCACACCAAAATGCTATATTTTACTAATTGAATATGGCACACAAATTTTAAAGCAAGGAAGGAATACACTAAATTTAAAAGCAACAAGTTAAAAATGTAAATTTTCTTAAGCTTGTAAGTAAACAAATTTAAAAGCAAAAAGTTAGTAATGAAAATAATTAAAATGAACTTTTAAAGTAAAAATGATAATCACAAGATATAAATATCTACTATAGCAATCAGATAAAATAGTAAGAGTGACATTTGTGATGTTTGAACAATATCATTGGATGCCTTAGTGAAAATGTGAATGGAATAGTCTTAGATAGACCACCAGGTCAAATGATGTAGACATTATGTCTGCTCGACACCAATGTAGAAGATTATGAAAAAACTTTACCTGGTAGGGGTAGATACCATGATCAGGGAGGCTAATTTCTCAGGACAAAGTTTATCCATTGCATTCTATATATACTGACCCATACAATTTCCCCAAATGTGGGAAACTTCATAATTTGTGGGAGTGGAGGACTGTATTTGCACTCTCCTCTACCCTATAAATAAATAAATAGAATGAGAAAAAGTCATGAAAAACACAATTCCAAAAACATTGGTGGGAGGGGTAATGCAAATATAGCATACATTTCGACTAACTACAGATTAGTAAGTAGGTTTAGGTTACATTAAGGTTTGATTTTTTAATAATGATGTGATATGATATTATTGACTTGTCAATAATTATCTAAGCGTCTGCCTTTTTTTGTTTAACCATGTGGTTTGGTAACCCAATCTACCCTTTACCTGGAAGCCAACTATATAAAGAATGAAATAGATTTTGAAACCAATAATCAAAGATTTTTTTCTCTCCTCCAATGGCAAGGAACATAATTTTTGTTAATACTACTTAATACTCTCCTCCCCCAAAACAAATTAATTGAACTTTAAGTCAAAAAAGTAAATTTTTGGCTATATCTAATAAATTTTTCATTAATAAGTTCTTCAAATATTCTATTATATCTACTTATAATAATCTTTTAAAATTAGGAATAATTTAAAAACCACTACAATATGTAATGGACTTTAATACTTTTTTAAAAAGTATATTACTTCCAATTGCTGCAAACATTTGTAAATTCAATTTAACATTGGCAAGTAACTTAAGAGATCTTGATTCTAAAGTTGTTTATGAATATATATCTTCACTTGTTCGTTATAGTATTAAAACAGTTTGATTCATAAGCATGCACATGTTATAAAATCAAAGCTGTGCACTTAAGGAAAGCATATTTATATATACACTTTGTTTAAGTATCCTCAAATTTAAAACATATTTTCCTAACATTATGTTCAGAAAGCCTTGCTATGCCAATGAAAGTAAATAGTTCACTTTTTGCAAGGGCTGCCCTATTAAAAACATGACAACAGGTAGAAGAAAGTGATATAATCCCAGCACAGACAAATCCTAAACACATTCTTAAAGGTCAAATTCAATCCTTATCTAAACTGTCCCATTCATCTGTAATATGGTCTTAGGTCTCTGACTGCATCAAGCCAGGGCCAGGCCTTCTGTCAGCCATTTTGATTAAGTAGCATGGCCCCAGAAAAGTTCAAGGGGTGATTTGACACCCTGAACTCAAAATTTACATATATCACATTCATTTTCACCATATCAGTTAGTAATACCCAAAGACAGCTTCTAGAAATCAATACCTTCACTTCTCATATAATTTCCAGAAAACAGCTGAGTGAACAACCTGGCACTATCTTATCTCTGGCTAGCCAAAGAAGAAAAATTACCATAAGGCTAAGGTCAGACATGCATCTACTCTCCCTTCATGATTTGTTTTTCTAGTACTCAGCTCCTGGTACCATAATGTGTTAGGCTGGGTCAACTAGCGAAATAAATCCAGAGACACACATATACAAGGGGTACCCAAACGAAAAAAAGTGGGGACAGCCCTGCTGGTTAGTGCTGTCATAGTATGCATTTTTCCTGCTAGGCAAGCATCGAGAAACTCATTATGTGTTAGTTCACCCAGTGGTGTCGCCTGAGAAGGCTCTCTCTGGTCACAGTGAATTTTCTCATAAAAGCAGTTTCGCTCGAACTTCTTTTTTTGTGATGGCTAATTTAAGAGAATAGCATGCAGCTATGGAATTTTGTTTCTTGCTCTGGAAAAATGCCACAGAAAGGTTGTGATATTGAACACAGTTTACAAGGACAGTGCTATGAGTAAAACTCAGGTGTACAAGTGGTTTTCTCAAACCAAAAAAGGTGAAATTCCAGTTGATGATAAACCTTGTTCGGGATGTCCATCAATTTCCCAAACAGACAAAAATGTCTACAAAATTCATGCACTTGTGCTCAAAGACTGACAGTGGACCATTGGAGAGATGGGGAAGTTATCTGGACAATCTTGGCACTCAGTTCAGTGAATTTCAATGCAAGATTTGGGAATGAAAAGGGTCATTGCAAAATTTGTACCTCAGGTTCTGGCTGACTAAGAAAATGAGCGTCAAGTGGAAACATGCCATGCTTTGAAAGAACAGCTTTGAAGCGACCCAGACTTAATTTTCTCAAGGTCATTACAGGTGACGAGACATGGCGCTATTCTTATGACCCCAAAAGCAAACTCAGTTAAGCCAGTGGAAGATGCCATCATCACTTTGCCCCCACAAAAGCTTGTCATGTGAAATCAAAGATCAAGATGATGCTCACTTGTTTGTTTGTTTGTTTTTGATGTGAGGGGGATAGTGCATTTGGAGTTTGTTCCACCAGATCAGACTGTTAATTTAGAAGTTCTGAAAAGATTGCATAACCATGTGTGACAAAAAAGGCCTGATTTGTGGCAGACTGGGGGACTGGTTTTGCAACCACGACAATGTACCTGCTCACGCAGCCATCTCAGTGTACCAATTTTTGGCAAAAAAACAGCGTGCCTTTTTTGCCCCACACACCTTATTCACCTGACTCCACTCCATGTGACTTCTTTTTGTTTTTGCAAATGAAGAGGGACAGGAACGAACAGTGATTTGATGATGCAGAAGAGGAGAAGAACAAAATGAGGGAAGTGCTGTTTGCCATCCAAACAGATGAATTTGAAAAATGTTTCCAAGAATGGAACAGTAGATTTGACAAATGTATTAGGTGTAATGGAGAGTACTTTAAAGGTGATAAGGTTCTTTTGTAAAATAATTTAAATGCATAGCATTGAAAAAAAATTCCAAATTTTGGAGGGCACCCCCTTGTATGTGTAAGTAAGAGTTTCACATCAAGAAGTAATTCTGTAAGAAGATAACATCCCAGCCCAGTCTACCTCAAGTCAATAAGTCTCTCTTCAGACTCACACAGCCACATAAAATGATACAGAATACAGGTAGATCACAGATTTGTAGGCACAATGTTGTATGGATCCAAAGGCAGTGGTAGTATCAGGGTTCTGGCAGCAACCAGGGTCAGCCAAGAGGAAGGTGAAGGCAGAGAGAGAAGGAAAGGTTCACAGGGGCCTTCCTATAAGAAGGCCATACTCACAAGGGGGCATCATCAGGCTGTCAGCTAGCTGATTGACAAGTTGAGTGCCACCCCTAATTTTTTTTATATATTCAGGTTGACAAGAAATTATGTAACTACCACAATGACCTAAAGTCAGAAAACCAAAAAGCAAGAAAATGCTCAGCACATCTTAAATTAACTGAAATAACTCATTAAAAAATTCAAACTTTATGTTGTGTGTTTTCTATGGAGATAATACTGAATGATGCAGGAAGCGTCAAAATAAGATGGAAAGTGTATATAGAGTAATTGTACCCTAAAAAGCTAGCCGACATTCCACTATTACAGAAGATAGCATAGCATATGATCAAGAACCAATGGTGGTGAAGGAAGAAATTCAAGCTTCACTGAAACAGCCAAAAGCAAGGCTCCAGGAATTGATGGAATACCAATCGAAAGGTTTCAACAACTTAATGAAGCACTGGAAGCATTCATTTGTCTATTCAGGCAATTTGGAAGACAGCTACTTGGTCAACTGACTGGAAGAGATCCATGTCTGTACCTATTTCAAAGAGAGGTGACCCAACAGAATGCTCAAACTATAGAACTATATGATTTCTATCACATACTAATATAATTTTGCTGAAGGTCATCCAATGATGGTTGCAGCACTACACTGACAGGGGACTGGCCGAAGTTCAGGTCAGATACAGGAATGACAAGGAACAAGGGATAACATTGCTGATGTCACATGGATCTTGGCTGAAACAGAGAATACCAAAAATATATTTACTTGTGTTTTATTGATTATGCCAAGGCATTCAACAAACTATGGATAACCTTGGGAATAATGGGAATTCAATAACACCTTATTTGCTTATGAGGAACTTTTGCATGGATCAAAAGACATTTGTGAGAGAACAAGGGAATATCGCATGGTTTAAAGTCAGAAAACCTGTGCATCGGGGTTGTATCTTTTCGCCATATTTGTTCAGTTTGTATGCTGAGCAAAGTATCAGAGAAGCTGGATTATATGAAGAAGTGTATGGCATCAGGATATGAAGAGTTCTGGTATGCAGATGACACACCCTTGCTTGTTGAAAGTGAGGAAGAATTGAAGCACTTGCTGATGAAGTTGTATAGATTGCATTTCATCAAAGGTGGACAGATCTAATCCTATTCCAGACTGAATTGTTTTACCTCATGGTTGTTTTTGCAATGTCCTCTTGGACAATGAATTCCATACCATTCTTCTTGATTGTGTTATTCCCTGCATAGTAAATTATACGATTTTCTGATTCAAAATGGTCAATACTAGTCCATTTCAGCTCAATAATGCCTAGGATATTGATATTTATATGTTTGACTTCATTTTGAATGACTTCCAATTTTCCTAGTCTCACACTTTCAAGTTCCCATCATTAGGAAATATTTTGAAGCTGTATCTCCTTGCCTGGTCATACCCCATCAGCAAATAAAGGAACTGAAAGCTTTACCCACCTCATGCCATTATGGTTGAGAAATCAGCTCCCTCTCAGTCATATTTTGAGTGCCCTCAGTCCTAAGGGCCCATCCTTCAGCACCATCTCCAATTATGTTGTGCTTCCATTCATTAGGCCTTCAGTATCTGACATTTTTTTTCAAAATATGCATAAGGTTTTCAGCAGCTTCTTCCTGCAAAGTGGGACCAAGTGTTTCTTCATTTTTCTTAGTCTGGAAGCTCCACTGACACGTGTTCACTTTGAATGGCACTGCTGGCTTGAGTTACCAATGACGTAGCTTCCAGATTCACAGCAACATAGAAGCCACCACGGTATGTCATGCTGTCAGACAAGTGGTGAACTGCATGGTATAATATCAAGAAATATGTGCATTAAGGTTGTATTCTTTCACCATGTTTATACAATCTGTGTTGTGTAAATAATTCAAAGAATATGGCATCAGCATTGGAATAAGACTTATTAATAACTTGTAATATTCATATCATATAACCTTGCTTGCTGAAAACTAATAGAACTTGAAACACTAGGTAATAAAAATCAAATACTGTAGCCTTCAATAT